ACATGACCACCAAGCCATGTCCACCCAGTCACATGACCACCAAGCCACACCCACCGCCTAAGCCACAGAACCGGTTGTAAAAAAATTGAATCCCATCCCTGAACGTGTTGTATCATTCAGAAGTGTTCTAGTTTAGTTTCTCTTTAGTTTTCTAGATTTTAGTAAGAGGTAATTTGAAACTTAACATCAAGTATCGATGAGCATTATAACTCCCTTGAAAAACAGCTTTTTTCCCCTTTGAGTTGGAAGCATGAATTCAAAAGTTGTGTAATATTTGTGCATTTCCAGTGAAATTAGACTATATAAGTAGTATTACCTGAAAACAAGGATTCTTCTCTGAGCTACTTTCTTTAGTTCTAGTGACATAGTTGCATTCCTAAACATGGTGATGCTACTATTTCTAGGACAAGGAATTATGTTTTTAAAGAAGGATTAGAGGAATTCAAAGAACCGACAGACTGATTTGGGAATATTTCCAGCTGCTGAAGAACACCAGATTCACAGTCAAATATAGCCATGGCCATATGGTAGCTTACTAAGTGAGAAGACTTCAAACAGGTTTGTTCTGTTTGGACATGAAGTGCTACATGTCCAATACTCTGCTGCAATAGAATAGATACACCGATATTTTGCCTAAAATTGCAAATTAGTTGATTTGTGTCGTTATCTTTTTCTCTGTTGCTACAACTGGCCAAGTGAGTGTTAATTCCATGAGATGATTTTATTTATTTATTCAAACACAGAAACAACTACATATAATTCTATAATCAGAATGTCCTGCAGGTCACTGTAGAATTACTTTGCCAAGCAGATCTTCCTGGATAGTAGATGTACTGGATATTTAGCACCACACCTCTGAGTAGCAAATTCCCCAATCAATCCCACAGTGTTTACTTACGGTGATTGACAAAGTGCTTGCCACAACTACATCAATCCGATCCACTGAAAAAGGATCAAAGTGCTTGTCTGGACGACACATGAAGTCATGTTTAAGAAGATAACCACTTTGCCCATTGAATTCAAACAGAGCCATGTTCTGCTGCATGGGGACATCTAGGAAAGGAAATAGCAGAGGAGATTATTTCATCTCAGGCAAAGGAAGCAAATTAACAAACTTCACTGAATGGGGTACCTTTCCTTCTATTACGATTAAAGTTAAGAGATGCATAACCATTCAAACCTAACACACAACAATATCTTGGTATGGGGTGGTTAATGGATGGATGCAAGCTTTATTGAGATTCAACATTATTTATTGCTAACTGTTTTTAAATTACCTTTTTAATATATTCTGTTTTTGTTTACCATCATAGTTTGTTATAATAGATGGGCAGCTATATAGGTTTGTTAATACTGTAAATATATTTATGCAAAACAATATCAGAGCCAGAAACTTAATACAGGACCCAAGCCAAAGAAGTGCTCCACTCACCACTTGTCTGAAAGTTTAATGCCACCATTTGACACCCAACATTCCAGAACATCTGTGGCATATAGTTAGATGAATCTATCCGAGTCCCTTTGGGATAAATTCGGCTCATCTGCCTTTTGTTGTAGCTGCATTTCTTTTAATAGGAGACCATTATTTGAATGAATGCAATGACTATTCTCATTTTGTATGATAAACAGTTGCACACATTAACCAAAATGCTATTCCTGCCCATTCATTATCAATTGAATTCATATTATGCTGAAACAAATAATTGTGCAACTGAAAGGGAAAAAAGAATACTCTATGTACAGTGCAATTAAGGGACACAGAGGCAATGAAGACAGGAGATTATCAGATATAAATCATCTTTGCTATTGTTTATAATTGTTCTGCACACATAAAATAGTGGCAAGAGTTTTTCTGGGGCATTCCCAATAGATATTGATGCAAGAATCATATCCTCTAGGTAGAATGATTAATAGTCAACAGCTTTTAAATGAATTCTTAATATCTATTACTATTAACACACTACAGCTAGCTAATAACAATCTCTATTACAATAATAAAAACAGAAGTTACTACACTCTGCACATTATGTCTGACACCATGGAACGTGTGACTATTATCCCAACTTCCTTTATAGAGAGGGCATATATGTATACATTGGAATGAGCTCTACATAAAGATAACATAACTAATCACTAAGGAGATGTCTTTAAAAAGGATACTTGACAAACTGGATGGGTGACCTGGTCAACAACTCATAAGCTTTCAACTCAGTGAAGGAGGAAACAACATAACTGTGGTTTTTCTCTGGAATAATAAGGAAGAAAACATAGAGCATAATCAATCTCTTGTTTCCAAATCTGTCCCTTCTTCCATTTAATTTCCAATCCTTGTTATCATTTCTAAATAAAAATGCCAGTTGCACATGCTTCTTCACATAAAAAATAAAAGAAGATACAGAAAGAGTTGGGGGTCAGGTGGAAATTCATTTTAGGATTCCATCGAGCACTGAAGCATATCCAAGAGTTCACTTATGGCAACAAACACATTTGTAGACATTATCTCTGCAGATAACATGGGAGGAATCAGTCACTGCCTAATTAAGTTGCTATTAAACTGTGTTTCCTGGCAGAGGGGTAGCATTTGTGTTGCTGCAAATTTTACTTGTCACAAGCTGTAGAACCTTCACAAAATAATTATACAATAAGCTTCCACTTATGTGCAGTGGAGCTGTTTTTGTTGTGTCTAGGAACATGTTTGAAAATGTAGAAACAATAGATTAACTTTGAAAGCTGGGGCCCTCAAGATACTTTAACTTCAACTCCTAGCATTTCCAACAACATGAGTTAATGCTGACAGTATTTGGAAAATCGAAATCCAGCCCACCAGTTGCTCTAAATTTAAGAAGGGGACCAGAAAAAAATAGCTTTTTAAAAATTCTCAACCTTTGATGAGAAGATAGAATCACCTGAGTTATTCCACTGCTAATATTTGGACAAAATGAATATCTTTTATGGGAAATAATGTCTCTGAATTCTTTATTTCAGTGGCATTATTTATTATCTATCCTTTATTCTAGCATGAAGCAAATGGAAGGGACAAAGTCTGCAATTTCTTTGGGTTTTCATCAGTTTCATAAATTCTCATTTATTTTTATGTATTTATTTGATTTATTTGATTTGTCAATCGCTTACAAGATAATAGGTATAAGTATAAACATGAGTAAGAGTACAGGAAATAGGTACAAATAAATGGGGACAATAGGACAGGGACGGGAGGCACGATGGTGCACTTATGCACGCCCCTTACAGACCTCTTAGGAATGGGGTGAGGTCAATAGTGGATAGTTTGAGGTTGAAGGAGTGGGGGCTTGAGGATGTAACAACAGAGTCAGGTAGTACATTCCAGGCATTGACCACTCTGTTGCTGAAGTTATACTTTCTGCAATCAAGTTTGGAGCGGTTAACATTGAGTTTGTATCTGTTGTGTGCTCTTGTATTGTTGCGGTTGAAGCTGAAGTACTTATTGACTGGGAGGACATTGTAGCACATAATTTTGTGTACTACACTTAAGCCGTAGGCGGCGTAGTTCAAGGTTGTCTAAGCCCAACATTTCAAGCCTGGTGATATAGGGTATTCTGTTGCGAGCAAAGGAGTGTAGTACCCTTCTTGTGAAATACTCGCTCAATGTCCGATATACCATTCAATATATATATATATATATATATATGCAAACATCAATTCCATCAACCAATCAAGAAATGACAACACAGCCAACCTCCCCACCAGTATTTATAGAGAGACGGCAGCTCCGATCATGCTTTGCTCGCACAAGCACGAAGCCGAAAGCACCAGCCTGAAGATGGCAAGTGGGACCTCATCGAAACGT